TTTTCAAGAAAGGTCTAAATTTGAACAAAATCTATGCTGTAAAATATAGTTCCACTGATATAGCAGCGATTCACCCATTTTGAATGGGGCCAGGAAACTAAAGCACATGAATACTTGAGAACTTTACATTTAGCTTGACTTCAAAAACCCCAAATCAAATTTGATACAAAATTGGTATATTCTAGCGATTAATTAAGATCACCACCATTTTAGATGTATTGGTATGGGCAGATTAGCAGGTTTGTAGGAGGAAATTCCACAAAAGTCACTGTGAATATCTGTATTTTCACTTGGGACATCAAAGTGTGCATTACTTAAACAAATGATTAAAATCATGCCATGACAAAGCATCATGCAAGATTGAAATGATGCTTGAAATAGAATGTTAATACTGTGAGTACTTGGATAAATAATATCAGACTTACTTGGATAACATTCTCCTCACTCTCTTCACCAGTTACTACAGGGACTTCATCTAATTTTAATCGGTTGCTTTCTTTGGCTTCTTCATATGCAATTGCACTTTCTACTAATGATTTAGCAGGCGGACTATCAATATCTAAAGAAAAAAAAAAAAAATTCAGAATCAATGGATTTTACTAGCGTGGGCAAACAAATCAATAACAGGATAATCAATTTAAATAATGGAATTCAGTGATCTTACCAAGAATTAAATACCTGGGGTAGAATTGTTTCATCAGTTTAGAAAGTATGAGACAATTATCCAACTATGTGGAACTGCAGACAGATATGAAATATTTTGTTCCCCTTATAGTGGAGACTGTGTACTTTTGTATTTTTGTGAGACAATTTGTATCAGGAGATTTAACAAGTCATTGAGAATGACACAGTCCCCGTTAAATTTTTGAAAGTTCTCTTTGTGCGTGTCATATTAAAGCGCGCGGGGGGGGGGGTGTGTGTGTCATGAGCGTGTATTTGAAAATACCAAATACGAATGAAAATGGTACATAAATTGTGGAAATATAGTAGTTAAGCCAAAAAAACACATGGCTGTCAATCGGCCATCCTTGACCAGATTTTGAAACAAATTGTCATGGACATGCATTCTAACATGTATAAAGTACATGTATGTGCCAAATTTGAATGAAAACTGACAGAGCACTTTCAAGATACCGCATAAAAAAACAAAATAACAAGATGTCTGCCAGTCGGCCATCTTTGATGCAATTGCGAAATAAATTGTCATGGACATGTAACCTAACATGTATAATCTATGTACCAAGTTTGAATGACAACTGACAAAGCATGTCCAAAATACGACATTTTCAAAAAAAAAGATGACTGCCAGTCGGCCATTTTGAATCGAATCGCTAAACCACTGCATGTGCATATGTGCATAAGGTACTAGGCACATGCAAAGAATGAACGGAATCGGTCCACAGGATTCTGAAAGATTACTATTGACAGACTGACGCACGAACGGAGACCAAATTGTAAGTCCCCGTTTTCAGACTTCGTCCAAACGGGGACTAAAAATCTGAGACAAAATATTAAACCACAACGCAAATGTCTTATGTCTGGTGAGAACACTGCAAATTTCAAGATACGAGTCATCATTTAAACACATGCCACCATCCACAGAGAATAACATTTTCTATTACAAGTGTGAGTACTAATCATTTTGTAATATTCTATGTTTGGGACTACAGGATTAGGGATTCAGATGTCTCAAAAGTAAATTTTGTGCAAAATGGAAACTGGCATCACATGACATTTCTAATTATTGGCATATTTTGGGTGTAAAAAAGTATAAATTTAACAGAAACGACTTAGGATCAAACTTAAAATATTTTTGAACAAAAATACCAACAAATTGTCTGTCTGGTAACCATCTGAATCGCTGCATGACTTGACACTGATGTGCTCCCATCTCTCACAAATAATCAATAGTTCCCCCTATTAAACTTGAATGAATCTTGTTTTTCTACCCAGAGTAGAAATCAATCTTTTTTTTAAGTGTTCAATCCCGGGTAGAACTCGATCTGGCAAAACAATTTCATGAAGGGAAAAGACACTGATGGCAAACAAACTGTCATTGAAAACAGTCTACAGAAAAGATGTACTCTATGACATTACCATGGTAACAAATAGAGAGAAACTACAGCAAAAGAATTTGTTACCTTTAGTTTCGGAGCTTTCATCTTGTGACTCTTCATTATCTGACTGTGAGAAGAAAAGACAAACAATCAAGATTTAGGTAAATGCAGCAGATTCTACCAATATGAGATAAATAATAATCATTTTAAATTTTTTTGCTTTCCGAACTACTAAATTATAGGAATGTAGCAGTAGATGAAATTCATGTGTGTACAAGCATAGCGGGTTTGGATGATAAAACACACATGACTGCACTTTGAACACGGTAATACACCAATGTTTGAGTAGCATGCATAGTCTGTGTTGGGATTCAATTCCTCAATTGATCAGTAAAACATCAATTAAAGGATACCTTAGCCAGTTTACTAAGGATCTTCGTAGATGAAGGAGACGTTTTACTCCTGTTGCTCTCCTCCTCCTCACCATCTATTTTCCTCTTTTTAGGGGTCTGCATTGGGAGGGAAAAAAACTGCTTCAGTTTTTTTTTTTTAATTCCTGACTGATGCTATATTACTGTAACTTAATTCCATGTCTACTATGTTACATATTGTACTATTATAAGTATAGGGTTTTGAAGTCTGGCGGCACGCAAGTGTAGTACTGTAAACTGCTCAATTTTAGCTGTTTGAAATTTTATGGCATTTATGTTATATGACTACAGAGACATTTTACAACTACAAAACTAGCCAGAAATTGTCTCCCGCAAAATTAAAGCGGTTTACAGTATAGTGAAGTATTGTGTGTTGTGGAGTAGTGCACAGCAGGGTGGGATAAAGTGCAGTTAGGTATATAGTCTAGAGTAATACAGCAGAGTAGTGAACTGAAGAGCAGTGGAGTACGGCACAGAGAAGTGTATAGTTTAAATTAAAGTACAGCCAACAGAACTGATTTTGTAGAGAAATACAATGAACTTGGAATCCTAAAAATCAAGTTGGGTCAGCTTGTTATATGCTTGGAAGAGAGGTCTTCAAGAAATATAAAGACTGTATGTGAATGTAGTGAGCTGCTGAAGACACAAACTAAAATGTAGAGGCCCTTGATCTGTCTATTTCCAACTGATTTTGCTTACAAAATATGAATTTAATTTTCGGTAACTATAGCAAGATATCAATGCATGATTATCTGTTTCAATGATGCACCAGGGGATTTGTATACTTAGTTATGCCAGAAAAAAAAACATCTCGCACACACACACTGTGTAGTTATATTGCATCATAGCACAAGGCTTAGCATATTTTGCAATGCACTGAAGTATGGTACAGTAAAACTGCTTAGTTTTGTGTTACATTTCAGTTAACTGGAGTGTAGTGAAGTGTATCAGTGTGTTGTAACAGCTTAGTTATAAGAGCATTCCTTGAAATGTGTAGATAGTATGCAATGCAAGCTATACTTACACAAACTCTTTCATTCATCATTCTGCCAAAAACAAAACCACTAGAACTATTTACTTTGGGAGCAGCTTCTTCCTTCACATCATCCAAGGATCTGCAATAAATTGGAATGTTTCAAACATTAGCTGTTAGCAATGCACACTTCAATTAGAGAATTGAAGATTGAATTGAAAATAAACAAATCTGAGAGAGGTCCACCTGAG